TCATCTTCAGACTGGGTGCTTTCCATCTTGCCATTCTTTTGCTTTTCTTCCAGTTGTCCCTTTAATTTTTTAATCTGAAACACCCAATAGAGTTAGGTTTTTTTATATTCAAGAAATGACACCAATAAATTTTGCATGCTATCATAAATTCCAATAAATATAGCATGCCAGAAAATAGGCAAGGCAGACACTGTGCTAAATACCTAAAATCCTCCAAAAAAAATTGTCATAATTTCCCAGCTCTTTTTTTTTTTTGGCAAATGATTTGCCCTACATTAAGTGACACATAAATTCCAGATCAAAAGTAACAAGTGAAAGAAAAGCATGTTTTACAGAAAGGCAATAAATGTTCTAGAGACATATTCAATAAAACGTTCTTAAAAAAACAAGGCTGGGTCTGGCTGTGCATTAAGTCTCAAGGGCAAGGACCTACTTCATAAATGGTAACTTCTTTGAAAGGCTACGGTCGCTGCAGAGAAACAGATAACCAAGGTTTTTCATAAGCATTATATCTGCTACAGAGTATCATGGGACCAGCAATCATTATTTTAACTACTTAGCAAACTAATTTCTCCAGCATTTCTTGGTGAACTTCCTATTGTCCACATATGAAAGCTTATGCTTGGAGATAAAATTTGCTGCTCTTACACATGGACTATATTTTTTCCTTCGACTTGGCCACTCCAAAGTGTAATTTTTCTGGAACACAGAATCACGGAGGAGTTTTAGGTGGCTAAGGACAGCAATTTGCAATACTTGGAGCACTTATAAAAGGAAGTGCACTTTTCTTGCACTGTATCCGAGTTAATGCACAGGAAGGCAGTTCTGGAACAGTAAAATGACGAGCACTGCAGTTATCCCCAGCAAGGACACAGCTCTTCTACACCGTGTGTGAGCAGCATGCAGATTTCTCTGAGCCTCTGCTGCTCTCGCAGCTTCAGCAAACACTCGGCACTCCCGCCTTACCTGCTCTAGCAAGGATTCCCGTTCGTCAATGAGCTTTCGCAGCCTGTCTGAAAGAGAAAACTGAGAGTTCAGCGCTGCTGCCGTTAGGCTGCACCTTCCAGGGACAGTCTTACACGGGGGGGACGCAGGGTTAGCAAAACTAGGGATGAAGTTAGGCACCTACCCGGGCGGGACGGGGAAGGGGCTGCAGCCGGGGGAGGTTAGGCCACTCTCAGGGCATGCTCGTCACGGCCGCGCGGCGCCCCACTGCATGCAAAGGGGCTAATCTTCTACGTTAGCTTAGCATGCACGCAACTCTAGGGGCAAACACAACTGCAACACAAAAGCTCACAGGTCTTTACAGTTCAACATCACAAAAACGCTGTCAACACCCACTAAGCGCCTTCTTGGCATTGGCACTTCTTTTATTCAACCCCGTGGCAATGACACTTGGTAATAACTCCACCCTTATGATCTTTGTAAGGGATTTGCCCGTATCGATATCTTTGTTTTAAAAGCAGCAGCCTAGTAAAATATTTACTCTTTAATATACTCTTTAATCCTTCACAGCAAATTCTCCCAGTCAAACATCCAAGAGGCAATAGGCAAACCAGGACAACTGTTGGCTTAGACGTGAAGTTGGAAGCACTAGAGATCAGCACATATGTGTATATGGTTATGTATTAATCAAGTACACATGACAAGATTGAGACAACTAGAAAAAAATACAGAAACAAGTAAATAAAGGATGTTTTTTATTGCCTGTTCCTCAATACAAAATGTGAAAGCGTTTTACTTGGCACTGTATGCAACAAAGTTGGAATCATTTTATGACTAATTTTCCCATGCTAATTTATTTTCCTTTAATGTCATTAATAATCACTTAATTTTACTCAGGTGCCCCACAACACAGCATTCTTTAAAACACATCAGACCTCAGCTCTTCCCACACACATTTGCCCAACATTTCTTGTGGTTTTATTTCATCCATCCCCCTTGCCAGGGAGAAGGTTTTGGGGTTATTTTAAACCAGCTAAAATCTTAGGGTCATAAAGAACTTTCATGTTGTGAGACTAAGTCTGAATTTTTTGAAAACCTTTTAATATTACAGTCCTCCTTCATTGTTCATTTCCAAACAGATCAAAGTCTTGTTGTCTGCTCCTTTTTTCTTCCATTCACACACTTAGTTTGGGGAATAGAGTGTTAGTTCAGTTTAAGGGAAGGGAAAGCAAGGTTTCCCACTGAAAGATCCTCTACAATGATGCAGGATTCTAGTCCATCAGCCATCAATGATGTGGTACGTCAGTCCCCTCCTGTGCACACAGTTTCCAAACGCTTTACCTCGTTTACCCAAAGCCAGCTCTTACAGGGACACTCCAGCTCAGCAGTCCTATGCATTTGTTTTGAACAGCAGGTCCTAGAGGTGTTTTTGAGACATTTGTAAAACACCCAACGTGGCTGCAGGTGAGTATTGACATGGAGAAAAAATCCAAATTTTGTAAACTTCAGAGACAAAACAAAAATTTGAGTCTAAAATGCTGCAAAACAATAAAAGTTTAACATATCTATAGACAGCAGCTAGGAAGAGACGCTGAGAGCAGGAATTCTGCCAAATAGTGAAAGATAAGGAAGAAAAATAAAGGCCAATGAAGATGGAAAGCAAAGAGCAAAAGAAAGGTCACATATGTCTGAACTGGAGATCGGATTGGGGAATTACATGTCAACAGAGATCAAGAGGCTCCTAAGAATTAGGGAAGAGGAATGATACAAAAGAGAATCTGCAGGAGGGCTTGCCAGGCCACAGAGGAAGAAAGAAAAAGATCAGTTTGCCAAAATCTGCATCTCTGCAAAGCCTCCTGCTTTTACACTTAAAAAGGTGTTCTCCGCACAAGCCGAGGAGCTGGAATCGCACAGCAATGAGCAGAAAGGAGCAACCTACCGAATTATCATGCGGAGAAGCTAATGATGCTTCTCACGTAAAACAGTCATTATCCCTATTTCACACAGGACGATCCTGCAATTAGAATGAATAATTAGGGTGTGAAACTCATCTCCCTCAAATTGGACTGCAGCAATGCGCTTTCCCACCTACTCCCTGTGCCATTCCCAGCTCCTCTATACATGAAGGGAGCTGGGAAGGCACCAACACGAGAAGCTGGGACACCGGCTCCTGCAAACACAGCTCCACAGCCCCGAGACCCTGCTCGGTGCCCCCGGCTGCTCCTTAGGCTTCCTCTTGCAGGGTGGGCACCCAAAACTGCCCCTGTTGTCTGCATCTCCGACACGGACCGGTCCTGCTGCAGAGGATGGCCCTGGGCAAAGGAAAACAAGGAAGGGGGCAGCCGTCCACGTGTCCGCTTCTTGCTTCGCACTGGATTTTGGCAAAGGGCTGTGAACTTGCAATTTTGCTTTCTGTAAAAGCCAAAGGCAACAAGAGGGACAACTTAAATCTTCTCTTGTATCTGTTGAGATGTTAGAGGGAAACCGCCAAAGCGTTTAACTTTCCTACACAGGCATTTTATAGGTACATAAAAACCACTGCAGTAATAGTAAAATAACACCAATAAGATAATAAAATCCCAGCAGAACCAACTCCTCCCCACCCTGTGTAACAGCACACATTTCAATCATATGCTACTGCCACGTAAGATTTGTTATATTTTGAAGATAACACCTAGACATCCCCTTTGCCTTGGGGATGACTGTCCTGGCAGAGCTCTCCCCTCTCCCATGAGGTGCATGGAGCCAAGCAAGGGCTGAAGAACCCCAAGAGCTTCTCCTCCGTGGTGGCCACCCAGCTGCAGAAGACACGAAGTTGCCCCCTCGCGTCATCATTACCTCTCTTTCTCCAAGTTGGCTTTAAAACGTGTTCTGAACTAAGAGATGCTTATAAACCCTCCTGCAAGCATGGCTAAAGCCCGGCGAGCATGTTTCATTGGATATTTCAGTGCATGTAAGATTTAAATGTAAATTAATTGCCAGACTCACCACTGTATTGTAAAAGACAAACATTTACTTCAAAACTGCTGCACAGTGAGCAATGCTTTAGAGTTCTCTGATATTTTATATCAGCACTTTGTATAAACCCTTAATGTAAACAAGGGCTCGTACAGGAACACCCTGAAGCTCTTGCAAGTTGGAAAGAAGCCATAGTGAAATCAGGAGTTTACAGGAGCTGGTGCCATCTCATATTCAAGGTCCTCAAACACAGAGGTCGCCCTTTCCTAGCAAGAGACCCCCCCAACACCAGCTCTGAAGCACAAAGCCATCAGCACCACTAAGAAAGCTGCAGACCCAACTACTTTCAGTCCCGTATGACAGCAAAAGGATCCTCACACACTATGCTTCTAGGAAAGATATTTTTGAAATACAAATGTCTTCAATTTTTTTGGAGGTTCATAAACAGTGCTCTGAACAGACAATTTGAAGTATAAAATATGTTTATTTCAATTATATACAGCTCAGTACATTTTGATATACATCTTCATACTCTGTTTGCACTCCCACTTTGTAACATCAGTACAAATACATCTTGCTATAGCCTCCTCCCAATTCTTGCTTGCATTCCCTTCTGATATTTATTGCTTAAAACGACTTAAAATAATTTTTAATTATGCAACACACTTCCTCCCCAGCAGTATAAAAGAGGCAAGACGACATACAGCAACGAGTTGAAGTGTCTAATGTACGCCAGCAATGTGAAACAATCCAGCTTCTCAAGAAGGCATGGGGCCAGGATACAGAACAATCATCTTTGGTCTGGCATTCAGTAAAAATTAAGACACCCCAAATTCTCTCTCCCAAAAAAGGAAAAGGAAAGATATTTTTTGGAGATTGAAAATAATTTCAAAACCAGGTTTTGCAAAAAAATAATGCAATAAGGAAATACAACTTAAAATAAAATCTTTCAAGAAAAAATAGCTATTTTATATGTTTGTAGCTAGACAGCATTTGATTGCAAACCTAAGCACACAGCACAGTGTGTACTAACACTTTCTTAGGAAAAACAACCCACCATGTAAGACATGGCATTTAAGGCTTACTGTGGTGCAAAGTGCCTAAATTAAGTAAACATTATATATTTATTCCTTTCAGTAGACTAAGACCTGTACGTTGCAAATTTTCCAAAATGTAAATTGTTCCTTCAAAGTGTGCAGACTAAGCAGTTTCACAGTGACCTAACTATGTTTTGGCAGCTCTTCTGGTATACTGCATTCTGGACTATGTCCTTATCGGACACATAACAAAACGGAATGAGATTCATCTTTTTGCATAGCTAAAAATATTGGTTCCTTGGCTTTAAACAATCATAACTAAGTTTCAACATTAGATCACAGTGTTGCAACAGTTCTGAGTTCCTTCACGAGGCATTACTGGCACTTACTGCAGATCTAACGTGCACAATACATTCGAGACATCTACCTTAATTCTAGGTCAGAAAGTAGGAGTTTTATATGCAAGGTTCTCAGTAGCAGTTATCCACACTAGGAGTACTTGCAGGACAGTGCGAATAATCCATTTGTGAAGCTCACTCTTGCTGTGATAAACATTTAATCTATGAGAGCAAACTCAACCCTACACATGTGATTTTCGGTGGCCAACTACGGCAGGAAATAAGTTAAAACATGTGTCCTTGCCGCTTATGTAACCCGACCTTTCTTAGGTGAGCTTTACCTACAGATAAAGAGCGCTTAGCGTATTCCTAAAGTCTGATTTATTGTGCAAAGTGCGTGCTTCTGTGCTGAAGCTGGACCAACGGCACGTAGCTACCTTCACCTGAGACCCGAAACTCAGGATATGATGCAGTCATCTTTGGACTTGCCCTTACCCTTCCTACCACCTGGTGAATCCTCTTTGCCTTCATCTCTGTCATTGCCACCACCTTCCAAATCCTGTTGCGAAACATTTTTGTCTGCTGTTTTTTCCAGATCGTTGGAGTCTGATGCTTCGCTGCTGACCTCCAACGCATCAGCCTTCTCATCAGCTTTCGGAGAAGATCCTTTCCCTTCCAAAGGCCTTGTTTCTTCTGTCTCACCCTCTTCTTTTTGCTGCAGGCTGTCATCTTCAGTCAATGTGTTTTCAACGTCTACGTTGTCCTGGCATTCTCCAGTTTCACCACATGAGGCAACTTCCTCAATCACACCATGTGCTCCAGCTCCTCCTCCTTGCTGGGTATCAGCTTTCTCTCTACCACATTTTTCATCTGTTTCCAGTATCTGTTTTGATTCCTCGAAATCATCACTATCATTTTCCACCCCTTCCTCTGCTTGACTCTCCAATTTAACATTTTCATCCAGCTCAGTTCTCTGTGGAAGAGTCTCTACCTTGGCCTCTGCTAAAGCTTCCTTTGCCTCACCCTGCTCTTCTATTCCCTGATTTTTGTCCTCTTCACTCCCTTGAACCTTCTGATTATCTTGCTCCCTCTCTGTACACTCATGTACATTTTCTAAATCTGGAGTTTGATCTTTGGCTTCGGAGCTGCCTTGGATAAAGTGCTGTAATGGTTTGGTAGTTTCCTGTAAAGAAACATCTGCATCCTGCTCGGATGCAAACCCACCATCTGCAAGTTTCAGCTGTTTGTTGGTTTCTTTCAATGCTTCGTCTTCAACTTTGTTTCCAGTAGTTACACAAAGACCTTCGGTTGACTCCTGCCTACATTCGCTTTCCTCTTGTTTAACTATGTTGTGATCTTCAGCTTCTAAAGAAATACTCTTCTCTCCTACCACACCACAAGTACTTTCCTCAACAGACAGAGCTGTTTCAATTTCCACGCTCGGTTTTAAATCATCTACCCTTTCAGTTTTATTTTCCTTTCTTTTCCTAGACTCATCCTGTATTTCTGCTTCTCCTTCTTCACTGTCACCATCTGAAGGACTTGGGTCTACACTGCTTCCCTCTTGCTTGAATATTCCTTCAAAGCCTGAACATACTTCCAATTTGTTCATCAATACTTCCTCCTGTCCATCCTTCTCGCTCACAGCTTGTTCATGCTCTGTCTTACCTTGCATTTTGCCTTCATCTAATGATACTATGGGACCATCCTCTGAAGAAATTGGTCCAATTTGTGCCTGATCTTCATTTTCCCCTTCACTCACAGCTGCTGAGGCACCACTTTCACACAACTCCTTCCCCTCCATACCCTTGGACTCTGTTTTCTTAGCCTGACCTTGAGCTGTGCCTCCCATCTCATTTTCTTCTTTGGCCATAGTACTTCCATCAGTTCTCCCATCAGTACACTCTTCCAAGGCCTTCCTAACTTTCTCATCAGTGTTTTCTTCCAAGTGCTGGAAGCCCTTGGTCTGATTCTCTACACTGGGCTCTTGGCTTAGTGAACCCACTGCTGCAACCTCGGGAAGCTCTGACTGATCAGAAACCAGCTCACTGCTGCTACTCCTAACATCAGCTTCATTACCAGCCCCTGCATTGCCAGCTTCCAAATCCCCTCCCTTCTGCTCTGCTGCAGCTTTTTCTAATTCACATTCTTCACCTAGATCACTAGGCACTTCCTGAGGAGTCTCAAAACCCTGACCTGACAGTGCACCCACCTCTGGCTCCTCATTTTTCCTTGGATTTAAGTCACTGTGTTCAGCTTCCTCACCAACAGGCTGTTGGGCTTCTATGTGACTGCCTGTCGATTCCCCCTCCTTCCTCAAGTCATCTGCATCACTCTCATCATTTGAGGAAACATTCCCTGAAGTCTGTTCTGGATGGCTTTGGATTTGTTCTGTACGCCTACTGTTTGTTAACATCGCTGTTGACATGGCAGCATTTTCTTCAATGATTTGTTCTGCCTTTGCATTTTCCTCAGCATGCAATGTCTTTATTTCCTGCTCCTCAGACTCCTCTTTGTGCTCCTCCTGCTCAGTATTCTGCAAGATTTCTCTTTTCCCCACATCCTCCAAAATCTCATTTTTCATGTCCACTCCATTGGCTTTGCCTAAAAGACCATTGAGAAAGTTGAAGGGACCACACCACAGCACTTACCTCCCCCACTTAAAGCCCAAAAGAGAATGAATCAAAGAACAGGTTAATAAAAGATCGGCTTTTGCCAATTATGTGAGGCAAAGCAGCAGCTGAATTAGTAAGGGCTTGGGTTTTCCTGATCCGTGAAGTCCACCACCACCCTCTCAAAGCAAGAACAGTCTCTGGTGCTGGCTTGTGTTTGGTAAAGTAAAAGATTTTTGCTTTGGCAATGTGTGAAGTACAGCTTTCACAGATGAGAACTTTGTTTCAAGCAGTGCATTGTAACAGTAAGATCTGCAGATATCACACTAGCAGTAGAGATGTTTTGTTGTCAGCAATATCCTCTGTAACTTTAACCCTAGTGCCACTCTGTGCACGCAAGAGTGCTTGATGCCATTGCCATGAAGTAATCATGCAGTATTCAGGAACATTTTATTCCTATTTACCAAGAACAAGCACAAGTGTGTGCCACAAACACTGTGAAAGTAAAATCTGATGAGCAAGCAAATGTTGGAGCTGATCAAGATAACCCAACAATGGTTGGGTCTTGGTGAGTACCCTTATAGCTGCTTTATCCACCCAAAAGGAATGAGAGTTTTTTCTTTAAGCAGTGTTTCTTCCTGTTTATATTTAGCAATAGGCATTAAGACACTGTTCTTGGTTTCAACAGCTCATTTTGGGGGTCTGTTGTGCCTGTTTCCACACAATCAGGAGGGCTAGAGAATGAAAGTTACATTTAAAGCATTTAAAAATATACCCTTACCTTGTTTTTCCATGTTCCAAACTGTTTCCACACTCAAAAGTGAGTAAAGAAACAGCAGCCAATAGCTAAAAGCAAGATAACTTCCACTAGCAACAGTTGGCTGCCTGCTGCTATTTGCTAACATGGTGACTTTAAACAGCAACAACAGCAAAAGTCAATTATTTCCTTTCATTACTGCAGGAAGAGTAAAACAGGTTCATCTAGTGGCCTTTCATTGCTGACCAAGAGGAGAGTCTTTGCCAGCCAGATTTCTCCTCCTTGACACTATCCATCTCACAGAATCATATGCTTTAACAGCACTAATTCTGATTAAAACAAGTAAACAATGACCTTTTTAATATTAACTGCTCAATAGCACTAGATAACAAGAATGAAAAAAATTAGTATTTTAACAGTGCCCAGCACTATTGTTCAGCAGACATTTACAGTTCTCTGATATAAAAAACAACTCATATACTAGTTTTATAGATGAAGCTAGAATGCTTTTGAGTCTGGTTTTAAATGTGCTAAAAATATCAAACAAAAGCAGAAGATTCCTGGGCAATTTTCAGATTGAAGCTTTCAATAGTCATCTAGATGCCTGCTACTGCTCTGTAATATATAATTCCAAATTCTCGCCCTTTGTCTCCTTGAAGGAAAGTCTCCTTTTGAGGAAACTGCACGATATACTTGGAGCGATAACAACTATGAAGCAGAAAAATGCACAGGAAGTGATTCAACAAGTAGCATGCGGCGTGATGTGTTAATTGTCCAACTAACAAATGCCCAATCTCCAAGCAAAGGTGAATGAATGGACAGATGGAAAGATATAAAAGCAGATAAGGTACTTACCTAGTGTCCCATCCCCTGATGTTTTCAGGGCCTGATTTGTGCCTTGGACAGCTTTGGAAGAATCCAGGTGTCCTTCGCTATTGAGAATATCTGATGTCTCCCCATTGGTGGCTACTTCAGAGTCTGGGATTATTCCATGTTTCTGCGGAAAAGTAAAGGTAGTGCTTTAAAGCCAGCTGTTTAAAAATGTAAGATGGTTCAGATGGTCTTGTTCTTGAAGTTTTGAATAAATGATTGCCTCAATCATTCCATAAAAACAGGCTAAAAATCAGAGAAGAACCCAGTTGAACCCAAATTACAGTTGCATTCAATTTAGCCATCATTACAGTCAGCATACCAAACTACATTTAAAAAAAAGAACAACAGTCATTTACACTGCTCCTTGTAGAAGGATCTCCTACAAAAGCAGCTGAGTAATGAGATCTCACGGTCATGTATTAGAGGTACAGACTTCATTAGGTAATTCTCAAAACTGGAGCTTCAAGGGGGCATCAAAACAGAGTACCAAGCCATAATGAGACTCTCTGCCAAAATGTACAAGAGGGATCAGAACTGCTTTAACTACACGACTCTTTTATTCCTCTTGCATACCTTCAGTTGCTCCTTCAGCACAACCACTTCATCTCTAAGGTCATCCCGCTCACTCCTTATGGAATCAAAGAAATCTTTCTGCCTCTCTAAAGCCTGAGTTCCCAACACAGACAGAGGGCGAGGAGATGTAAAGAAAGGAAAGGAAACAAGTGAAAAGTAAGTGTAAACAAGAATGAACAGATTTAAGGTATTTGGAGATTCATGAAAAATGGCATGTGAAGGTAAAATCTACAGATCAAAGGAGTGAGGTCACATACACATCAATAAACTTAAAATCCAAGAAGTGCTCAACTTATTCAGCAATCATTCAATCCCAGGAATTCCTATTAAAGACATTCAGGCCCCAGTCCTTCATTAGGTTTCAGTAACATGGGAAAAATCAGGATGCACTTTTCATTCTTATCTGCTAGGAAAGTTAATTCATATCTGTAATACTTCTACGTGTAACTCAGAAATAATGCAAATCCCATGTATTAACAGAAGAACATGTAAATTGGCCTGACACATCTTAACAGGCTGTTAATTCCCTGGGTTATATCGTGGATGTAGCATGCTTCAACTATCAATGGTTTCTTTTTATCCTTTGGGATGTACCATGTGCAAATGCCTATTTTGCCAGTGGAAGTCCTTATTTGTATATTGATATAGAAATATCAAAATGGTAACAAAAACAACTTAGTCCAAGTTTCAAGTGGCTCAAAGTTACTTGACAGCACGGATAACACTGGACATCAGCATGAAAAAGCGTGCCAGATTCCCTTCCCCCTTCTATATTAAAATAAGTCTTTCAGTGCTTGTTGCCAGAGAAGAAAGCCATTTTTTTTTCCCAGTGGGTTTCCATTTGGCTTTGGGATTTGGGGTGTGCAGGGTGGGAAGAGCAAGGGAGAAAACTACTTTCATCCCAATAGCCCATAATAAATCTTTTTTTTTTTTCTCTCCAATCACACCACAGGTTTTGCTCACAGTCCACAGACTAAATCTGAATAAACAGAAATTGCAAGCTGATGGAACTGCATTCCCAATGGCCTTCATTTGATTAAAGAGCATTTCATTTCTCAACATGGCATACGCATATGGTGCACCCCAGTAAAAATATTAAGCAAGTTGCTGAAATCAGACCAGTTGATAAGTTTTTCTTGGATTGTATCATGCTGGCCAAAGACAAAGTTTGCTATCTGCTAGTTCACAGGTAATATGATGAGGCAGCCACATCAAGCAAAGGCACTAGGGAGGATTTTATTCATGAGGTCTTGCAAAAGCAGGATCAGCTGAAGGTCGACAGTGCCACTCTGAACACACATCAGGCGTTCACAGTCCTACCCCTATTTTTTTGTCTTTCCACTCTATTGTCTCCTGGAGATCAGAAATTTCCCTGACATAGTTCTGCTGTTTCTGTTGCAGCTGCTGGATTTCCTGAGGGACAGGAGCAAAACAAGACAGAAAGTAGGTAACAGGTAAACATAAGAAGTCAAGACTGCAGTGATGCCGAAGGATGGAAAAAGTCAGGTGTTAAAGTGGAACAGTATCTACATACACAGTGTCAGAGTTACTAACCTCTAAAAACCTGCACTTCTTTAGGCGATATTACTAGCAACATAATGACATAAAACAAGGTTAACATAACCCTCTTTTCTCCATATCTACACACAATTATGCAAAATGCAGTTTATTTTGTATTTGTGGACAATGTAAAAAAAAATCAGTTTACAGGTAATACTTGTGATAAATACTGTTTCAATTAGTCAGTCTGCTTGGCCTGAAACAGATTTGAGTTGGAAATTCTGAGTACAGCAGGTTCTCCGTGCCCCCCTCTTCTACACACCTACTGCCTTGAGCACAGCAATCAATGAAGCTGTTCAAAACAGTGAACTTGTTACTTACTGCAAGCATTTCTTCTCTTTGCTTCAAAGCTTCTTTCATTTCCATGAACTGAAACTGCAATATACTGTGAGCATGCTTTTCCCTCTCAAATTCCTACAAATAATGAAATAATTTATGAGCTTAATTTCACTGAAGATACTCATCATATAAAAGCAAAGACAAAACACATCTAACCACAAAGAAAATGCTACCCTTAGTGTTCTAATTGTAATCCCACAAGACTCCCAACTTCTACCTTATTTTTCTTTTCCAAGAAGCTATAATCGCATTAACTTCATTTCTTAATACCAACTAATTCATTAGCACCGAGATGCTGAATTCATGGAAAGCTTAATTCAGTACTCAGCCACATAGTCACCTTAGTCACTCACTCCTATGAGTCCCCTGAACAGAGGTTGGTACCGCAAACACTCTAGGAATAGAAGAAAAACAAAACCCACCCACACAGGGAATCCTCCAGAAGTCACTGGAATGGAACCAAATTTGCTTAAAAGATGCAAAATAAAAAGATATGCTAAGGCTATCCTCATCTTACATGCAAGACATTTCCTCAGAAGTTGTTTTAAAAGTGAGGGCGGGGAGGATTCCCATTTGTGCCCCCACACAAGCACCTAAGATGCCATCAAGGCAAATGAAGTAGCACCGAAAACAATCTACTTATTTAACAATTAAAATCTTGAATGGAAGTTTGTCTCCCCTCAAAGACACCCGTTTGACCGAACCAGAACCACAGCTGCCGCAGCTGTACACGTACTTTGCTTTTTTCTTCATATTGCCTCCTGGATTCTGCCAGCTGTTCTTCCAACTCGAGCAGCGCATCCTTCAGGGTGTCTACTTGGTACATGAAGTTTGTCTTCTCATTGTCCAGCTGTGCGTTTGACACCATAGCCTTCTTGTATTTCTCTTCCACTTCTGCTAGCGAGTCCTGCAAAGGAGAAGCAACTGCGGTCGGAGCTCGGGCAGAAACACCGCTCTGCCAAAGCAGACCTTGGAGGAGGACACAACTGGCCAAACCTCCCTAACTGTTCAGGGCTGCAATGCCTCCTTGGGCTTTCCCCAGCACATCAGGAATGTCACCTCGAGATAGCTAAAACGGGGCCTTTCCTCCTCCCTGGGAGCTGCTGCTTTCGCAGGATGCTCTTCCTGCCCCGGCCTCCCCCTGCACCCTGGCAGTCCTAAGGCTGTTGAAGGTGACAGGTTGCCTTTTGATTGCTCTGATGAGCTAGGCTTCAAATTAAGGCAGTTTAGCAGCCACTTCACACTAGCTTCAGGGGGGCACTGAAGCAAACAAACCTGCTGGTTCAGGAAGTGGAATTATCCACGGAAAAAATAGCAGCTTCTCTAACCTGATGTACTCTTTTTATCAGGTTTGTGACACACCCCATTCTCCTGTCCGTTTATAAATTTTCTCTGCAAGATACAATTCCCAGTGGCTTGAAAACTCCTTTGACGAATTCGACCTGAAAAGAGGAGTTCCTGAGGTGTTTATAACAAGAGCAGCTAAAACGAGGATCATTTTCCAAGTCACACAGAAACAACTTTAATACCAAAATAAAAGACTCTCAAAACACACAAATATGCAAACAAGGACACCCATGTCAATAACTGTAGTTTACAGATCAAGCACTTTCTCTTGGACTAAGAGCAGTATCAGAATTACAGCCAGAGCACAGGGCGAGTTTCATATACTTCTACCAGCAGGACAATTTTACCAGTTCAATAAAGAGAACTGAGAAGTGTCATGGTGACATGACAGCAAGAGTTAAGATTCAAACCAATTTAGTTCATATTTCTATAAAAAACATAAGAAATTTCTCTTTAAGGACATTAGTTTGTATAGACTCAAATGCCAATGTTATAGTGCGCATGCCAGGTTGAGAAGGATAGATACTGAAAAGCAGGAGCCAGGATTTGAAAATAGCCATATGATCAAACCACAGAAAATGGCTGGATTTAAAAGTAGCTGTATGATCAAGCCACAGAAATTAGCTGGAAGGGAAGTATATGCAAATAAGTGTTTGAGAGGTGCTGAACAATTCTGCCAGCAGGCTAAAGTTTGTTTTATTAGCAACAAGTTCCACCACAAGGCTTGACTATGGACTTTATGGGAAGCACCTTTTTCTATACCAAAAGCAAAGCTCGAATTAAACGGGTCATTGAAAGCTGATGCAGCCTAGGCACAAGTCACCATGCACTCTAGGGGACACCAACCGAGGAAAAGCTAACTACATTTTCTATGCAGTGAATATTATTTTGCTACACACCAATCAGGGAAAAAAAGAGTCAGGCTTTTCATGAAAAAGGCCCAAACTATTCTTTTTCCAATTACAACTCACTTAAGATGGCAGTAACATCACGTATCGCAGCATTGAACATATCAAAAACAAGTCAACGGTTGATGTTGAGTTGTGTTGCGTTCTACACGTGGATGTCTGCTTGTGTCTTTGCAAGGCTGCCATTTCCAAAATGCAGCTAATGGCACTGCTCACTCACCAAGGGGTGTATTTTGCTGCACCAAAATTATTCTAGAGCTTTGTGAGGGTGGTACTGCTGTGAGTGCTCACTCTTTGGGCATCAAGTAAAAGAATTGTTCAACATGTTTCTGCAAGCTAAGGAGGACTCTAAAGAGCAGCCCTCACCTCCACACACACAACCGTCCAAATGCAGGCTGGACCTCACCAAAGGAAAAACGCAAAGACACACAAACAACCTTCTAAAGTTGGATTTTTCATAACACTGGAGGCCACAAGTTTGAGTTCATTTCCAGTTTGGGAACACTTCCTGGATTATGGGGTTTTTTGGTTTAAATAGTGACTTGGATTTGTTAGTAAGGTGACTGCCTTCTCAAAACATCAAATAAAACATGCAAGAGTAACAGCAGCCTTTCAGGTGGCATTAAGATGCATTTCCCTCCACAACCAGCAGACACCAGATGTCCTTTTGGCTGGTGCAAAGCCTTTCACACCACTCGCGAGCCCTCCCACAAGAGGAGCATGCAAGGTCAGCGCCCACACCGACTCCCTCAACACTTAGCTGTGGTTAATTATCACACACCCAGGCTACAGCAAACCCGTACCTTCATTTCTTTCAGCCCCTGCATGTATCTGCCTTCTATATCCTGAATCTGGTCCTTTAACTCATAGATATCCTGAGAGAAATGGTGAGACAGTGAATGATGCTGCAGAAACTGAGGGGTGGTAACTACAGCAGGCCACATGGGCTGAGCAGATCAATCCTAGCCTGCATGCTTGCCATTTCTGGGCTAAAAGTTCATTCCATTTCTACTCTTTTTGACCTTGATTGTTTTTTCCTCAAACCAGCAAAAATAAAAATAAAGCTATCTACCACTCAGATTTTTTCTCAGTGGGAGGAATAGTGGATTGAATAGCTACTTATTGATCAAATGTGTCTAAATAAGGCATTGGGAATTAATTATGAAATAATCCCTCTGCAGGCTGGTAGCTTTCCCTCAAGCTAGCACCCAGAAGGCGTGCAGTGCTACTTGCATCACTTTCAGCCTTGCATCACTTTTCCACGGACGAGTACAAGATGTGTCTGTTCCGATCAGTCCATCTGCTGCTGGGCATCTACAGCTTTACCCCAAATTTGGGGCAGTACATCACAGCTTGCCAGCAAATTTACAAAGCTGTTCGCTATGTATTTACAGCATATAATTCATTTTGTCATGACTGCCAAGAGGGGGGAACATGCCAGTTATTTTTTGCTAACAGACCTGAAGGAAGCTCTCTCTTTAACAGTAATGCAGGAGGCAGCTCTCATTAGTGGTAGCACCATCAGTCCTCCTTCTTACTGCCTGCTTCCACGCACAACAGTGGGAACAGCAATACACCTTTGAAATACTTTTATAGCTCATCTACTTAGAAAATAATACAGATCATAAAATTGGCCAAAATAACCATTCCTAGCGACTCATGCTGTTGTGAAATACGTCTCACCTTTATCTCTCTAATAGATGCCTCTGTATCGGCTGAGATGGAGGTGTCCCCGCTGCCTCTCCGTGACGAAGTCCCACCCAGAGAAGCTAAGGTAGCTGCTGATAAGCTTGAGACAGAGCGAGCTCCCTAGAATTAAAATGCAACACAATTAACCATGGCTATGACCTTTTTTGAGATTTTTAAATATACACATAATGCACGGTGTGAATGTACTTAGAGACAAATCAGCAGTTTTCTCTTTGGCACCATCAGTGATATTGCTGCAGAGCAGATGGATCATCATTAGGTGCTCAGTTTTACAAACCAGCAAAGCAGAAAACAGCCAAACTAGAACCAAATCCAGCTTCTAACAGCAAGTTTTACGTCCTCTGTTTTCAAAAAGACATATGTAGTCATTAATCACTGGAACACGTCTGTGCAACTTTGGCAGTCCCAAATCAAATCAGAAGGAAAGGACCCAACAGCAGTTGTTGTCATCCAGGTGTCTAAAACAACCAGAAACAAATCTGTGCCTTTTATATCATCCTAATTGCCATCAGCTGCCAGTGCCACATCACAAGCCAGTGACAAGAGCAAACCCAGAAGAACAAGGGCTGCTGCTTCTCCACTGCTGCTGCCCCCTCAGCACTTTAAGGCTTAGCAGCAGATCAGAGAAAAAGGAGCCCTGCACTTCCACATTACACAAACTTGATTAGGATGTAACCTAGGAAGCAAATCAAAATTAGGAAGCAAATCAAAAGATCAAGATCTACCAAGAGAAAGTAATGGCAAAAGACTGATCTGAGGCATTTAAACACTGCTGTACCTCTAATAAGAGTCTGTATGGCTTGGCTTCTGACTATTAATCAGGCTGAACTTTTAAGAGCTAGAATCATCTTGCCAGGAGGCATTTTTAAAACTTGTCCTGTTAAATTATGTAGATACTTTGGATAACTCAAATTCTTCTCCTTTCACACGTATCTATGTTCTCTGCAGCAGCAGCCTCATTAGCTGTTCTAGCATACTGGGGGTTCTGCACAGAAAAGGCAGCTTTTCAGTCCTGCAGCACCTTCTTATTTCTAATATTGCATAAAGACACAAGTGAAGTTTACTAAACATCAGTGTTTACACAGCTGAAACTGTTTTAGGCTGAGCTAAGCACTGTTGAAGGTCACCTACTTACCTGCTGATTGCCTTGAAAACAGTAACAGGAGGAGGCTCTAATCATCTGAAGTCTTACCCCACAATGTATTTTTTAAAATATTTCTATAAATTCAGTGCAAATTTTACTCTCCAAAGAGAACATGAAGAAATTACTGCTACCAGAATAATTCCCTAAGATTTTTCTTACCTTCTCAAAGTCTTTTTCTGGCCTTTCCTCGATCTGTAAAACAAGTATTTAGAAGAAATTATTAACTAGAAGATGACAGTAAGAGATCAGAAAAGCAATTCTTAAACCTTTAAAAGTCTTTGTTAGCAGCTTTTATCCATTCCAAGAACAACACGTTCACTTAGAACAGTAGCCACCAGGCTGGCATCTTAGGCTGAAAGTCTGAACAGTCCACCTGCAGTTTCCTGGTGGCACATTATTTTAAATAGAATACACATATGGATAAAAATCTACTACAAGGTTTTATTATGTAAGTCAGAGGAACTGCCCTATCCATATTCTTCCATATTATTTTCCATATCCTACATGTTAACATTTCAAACACTCAGATGATGCTCAGTCTGGGAGCAAACAAAACAAGGATTAAAAACCTACATGAGCATTAACTCAAGTTTTGAATTGAAAGCTCAATAATTTACCAGACCAAGATGAGGAAAAAAGAAAGAAATGAAAGAATAAAACCTCAGAAAAAAAATCTTCTCTACTTGTAAGAAGAGGACACCTCTGACTTCACGCAAAGATTGAAGTAGGGCTGAGACTACACAAACTAATCCTCAAGTAAAGTGTCAGAAACCTGGTTCAAAGTCCAAATACACTGAACTGTCCACTGAGGCTCTTGGGTATCCCCTGGAATTCACCCCCATTTGGAAGACAGCTCTTCCCCAAACCACTCTCAGAAAAACAAAGAGCCAAAGTGGCGGTTGGAAGGAAGAAAAGTTAGAAGCTCAGAAATGCTTTGAACATTCAAGCAAAATTACAAGTTAAAACGTAAATATAGGGGAAAACACACGTAACCTGGAGAGGTTTTTTCCCTATGGATAGGAACAATCCTTTCAACTTTTTACTCTTCTGAAAGTGAGCAGAACATTCAAGTTTCCAAGGTTTTTTTTTTTTTTAAATCAATGTTTCAGCCTGACAGGGTATTTCATACACTAAAAAAAAAAAATCCTAATGTCTAGCATTAAGAAAACAAATTTTAAAGCAGAATAATCTCATTTAAAGCACTACATATAGCAGTATAATAGAAATAGTGCTTTAAATAGACAGAAACAGTGAATGCAAGTAGACACTAACGTACAAAACAAATTTAATTCTCAATTTGGGCAGAATAAGAAGAGAAGAGCTACTGACTGCAGGTACTTCTGCTCAGTCCGCCAAGTGAAGTGCCTTTAGCTGTGCAAGCAGCCTGATGTTCTCCTGCCCGCTGCTCCAAGGGGCACGGTGGCCAAGCCTGACGTGACACTGTTGTCAACACCAAGTTGTGGCAGGACAACCACACTGTGTGTTGCCACACACAAGCCAACACACACACACACCACGAGTGATCTCCAGGAACTCAGGTACAGGTTTCTGCCAAAATGCACACTGTGGGTTTAAAAGAGAACCAAAAACTCTGTTTTGCTTAGTGGCTAATGAGTCACAGAACGTGCTGCCATTTCCTAAAAGGAATGTGCAGCCTCAGGCTTTCATAAGATCACGGAGCAAGCTTCAGTATTGCTTTAATGACACACAAAGGCGGTCCGATGAAAGTTTCCCTTTACGAAGGGCCGAGCACTGGCACAGCGTGCGGAGCCCCGCGGCGGCTCCCGCCGGCCCGGGCGAGCTTGCCGGGCGCCTGCTGCACCCGAGCCCCACGCGGCTCCCAAGGCGGCGCCAGGGCAGCCTCGCTCACCGCTCCCAGGAACATGTACAGGTTTCAAAAAACACCACGCATTTCCTTTTCCTTAGCAATGCCCCATTAGGTGCCTTGAGTTATACACTCCAAAAGCACATTCTCAAACAAGGACCACCACGACCAATTATTTTTTCAATGTGAACACTTAAAACTCTTTGGAGAAAAGCCAGTTTCCCCTCTCTGTTTCCACTGTATATTATTTGGTTTTGACTCGGCTCTGCAGTCACATATTCACTGCTTCCTCAGAGGAATTGCCTTCCCAGCCACCAGAGGGAACTCCAGGTTTTCCACCTTTGCTGGGTCTCCTATAAACACTTGGGTACTTGATGCAGAAAGGAACCAAACCAAGAATGTTCAGCAAGAAATGCTTTGGTTTTCCTTAAGTCAGACCAAGTTCTGTCCAAAAATACCTACCTTCCACATCATCAAGCAATAATGAAGGATAAACTTTAGAAGACTGAAAAGCCACCTCTGTTTCACAGCCCTACGTCCTTGGTGCAACCTCTTGCACAAATTCACTGGCTTTTGAGATGTCCCATAATTTGGTCACTTGACCCCTCAGCATACGAGAAAGGAGAAGCCCCAACCCACTCTTTTGCAGAGGGAACAGGCTGCTCTCTGCATCCCAAACCACCAGCACCAGCTTAGCCAGGAGCTTAACTCCATCACCTATATACAGAAAACACTGCCTATATTTTCAGAGGTAATAAAACCCAGTCGCTGTGCAGCTCCATCCACCTTTGTGCACTCAGAATAACATCCCTATGAGAAGCAAGGTCCTGGCTCTGCCAAATAAAAGCAGATCCTTCCTGGGCTGGAGGCAGCATAGTGTATTTTGCAATGGAAAAACAGCCCACCCCACAGAACAGCTCTTGCCACAGACAGTACTGAACAAGGAATGGTTTCTGCAAGCACTGGCACTAAACAGCATCCCCACAGCCAACATCAAGCAGCTGATATAAATACAAGATTATCAGCCTGATTAGCTGCACCAGGGCACATAGCATCCCCAGGGATCCCTGCATGGTTTTCCAATCACGAGAGCCACCTGAACACTGACAATTAGCATTAAGCCTTTAAAAAGCCAGCAGCAAAAACCCCTGCTGAACTGCCAGCGCTCAAGTGGATGCGTCAGGAGGATCCTCACCTCTTAGACACGCCTAGCAGCAACCAAAACGCAAATCCTCCCTCCTGGAGACCTAGAGCTAATCCCAGCCCTGTCAGTGGCTTGGCTGGTGCATGAGCAAAAGGGAAATCTCTTGGGTGTGAAGGGGAGACAGCAAATCTGCAGCACAGGCCTAAGCATGGCCATACAAATTGCTGCTGCCTTCGTTTCCTTTTTGCAAGAGCAGGACGAGGTGCTTGCAGCGCCAAGCTCCGCTCTGCTCCATGGCACAAGGCCCACACACCTCCACAGTGGACTTTGCCCAGGAACACGGGCTCTCCCCTAGGATTTTTTGTCTTCCTTTGCTCAGAAACACCCCAGATTAATCCTTCTGGGTTGTGAATCTGTTTTAAATGCTGTTTTTCCCTACCAGCTGGTTTGGTTCACTTCAAAAAAATCCAAGTATTCATAAGAAAAAACGGTCATCTCGGCCAGAATACACCAATAGCTAAGGTGCAACGTTGGCTGCGTTTGGACAGAAGAGCTTGACATCTACTCTCAAGCATCTTTAGATTCACATTTTACTCCACGTTTAATGCTTTAACATTAGGTATTAGCTACAATAACTACAGGGGTAGCAGACTGTTCCCTTTCCTTCATCCTCCACCAGGCATTTCAAAAATAAACTTGCATTTAAGCGTGCAAATGGCAAAACACGTACAAAGCAGAGTCAAGAAAGCAGGTACCTTGGCTTACTAAGGGCAAAACCAACTCATTTTTAGGAGTCAGCAATATTAAAGCAGCTCAAACGTGCACAGAGCCCAGCAATCACACTTCGCCATGTTAGCAGAGCTGTCCCGAGAGGTTTCTCGCCTTCCTTTAGGAAATCCAGGCGGATGACACTTCCGGAGGGCGCGAGGGAAGCGCTAACCCGCCGAGCTAACCGGGAAGGCCCCGCTCCCTTTCAACATCCTCCTGCCACGAGGCAGGATTCCCAACCGGAACCGTTACCAAAACGCCGCGAATCCTGCACCAGGAAAGGGCAAGGTGGGCGATTCCTTCCTGCGAGCCACCGCCAGAAAGCAGGGTTCAACACAAGGGGAAAAACAGGGAGGAAAAACAACCCGGAGCTGCCGGATTCCCCCAGCAGAGTTGTGAGGAATGCTGTGGTGACACTCGGAGCTGGACAGAGTGGAGTCGGGTCCCTGCAGCGGCGCCTTTGGGACCTGCTGCTGCGTTGCCTCGAGGCCGCAGAAGGAACCACGCGCTCCATGCTCTGCAGTCAACCCCTGATCCAAAATTAAAACAAAACCTCATCTGCTATCTCCTTGCAGCCTGCATCCAGCTGGGCACCTCTCCAGCCTCTCTGCTGACCCAGCAAACCACCTGCACCCGCTCACAACCAAAATGCAAGGGCAGAATTAAAAGGCAAAGCAGCCCTTATAGCTCCCAGGAGGGGCAAGCTGCATTTTGTTAGTGCCCTAAGCAACTTGCCCCAATGACCCCCATCGCTTAGGAAAACACGCAGTGGAAGCTGGTTGCAACAGAGGTACCCGGCTCCCAAAGAGCTTGCTTGGATTTCCTGCTTGTTCTCGTTGCTTTGGGCCATGGAGATAACAGTTTAACTGGAGATAACAGTTTTCTAACAGGCACACAACTGCAAGAACTCACAGGGACTAATAAGAAACATGGATCTACTTACAGCCCGCTAGCTGCCATGCAGTGTCTGATGAAACTCCTGAAGAGTCATTTAAAAAGCAGACACAGCCTTTCCTATAGGGACACTGACACACGAAAGCAGGTATAAAGTGAGTTGCTGTTGCAGACTGTGTGTATTTATTGCCCAAAAATGCACCTTGCAGCTCACAGTTGCACACAGTGGTGGCTTCCTAAATATCCACATAGCTGTTTTAATTGCTCCTTAAGGCAACATTTGCAGCTTTTCAGCTCCAGCTCCTCAGCTAGCAGCCAAGGCAGTGGGAGGCTATCACTGGAGAAGCATTTTGCATGCACCTGTTTGTGGTATTGCCCTCCTCATCACTTCTTGGTTCTGCCACGCTGCCTATCTGCATTCCACGGCGTGCACTGGGTTGTGAGCCCTTCGCAACACAAAGTACGGCCACTTTTGCAAACTCACAGCAACACAACAAACTGCTTCTGAATGCAGAGAAACTCAACTCAGCGATAACCACAGTAAGATCCTGAGTTTTCTGATATTAACCACCAAAGCAGATGCAGCATTAGCATCAACAATGCTGATTCTTTTCCACACCACCCCTCCCATGTGCCTCGAGCCTGACTCCCATTTCCTTTCTGCAGAAGTGACAAGCAGCTTGCTTTAGGCTCCTGTGGCAATGTCTTTTTTACCTCCTGGTTTTGTAATTTTTCATCTAGTTCCCCCCTTTATTTTAAGCACTGCCCTGCAAGCCTAAGACCTACCTCCCAAAGGCAGGCAGCCTTGCACACACAAAGACCTCGGAGAACAGGAATGGAACAGCTTAAAGGAAAGGAAAGCAGAGGAGCTCACCACTGGACTGGCTCGCGCGGAGCTGGCTCTCGAGGACGCCCGGGATCCCGACCCCAGGTAGCAGCTGTACTCCGAAGGCTGCCGCAGATTCCCAAGAGCAGCGGGCAGAGAGAAGAGAAGAGCATTAGAGAGGGAAGCAGCAGAGGAATCGCGGCGCCGCGTTGCAAGTTAGTCCCAAACACCATCCCGTGCAACCGGAAAAGGAAGAGCAGTTAAAGTGAGAGAAGAGGTATTTGGGGGATTAATCTGAAAATTGAGACAAGCAGTAATTCCAAGGGACAGACCAAGCAGAGGTTGGATTCCATCCCTACTGCCTCATCTCCTGCCAAAGGAAGAATTAGTCCTGAACAGCAAATATCCAGTGGTGGTGCAGCAAGCACAGGGTCGACTCGTTGCTGGCAGAGAACATGTCTTTATAACCTTCGGAAACAGGCAGTAAAGAATGGAAAGGAAAAGCTCCCAGCATCTGTGAAACACAACTAAATCTTTTCCTGCAAACAAATATTCAGAACTATTCCTATTTTCCCACAGATTTCAGAAGGTATTTTGCAGCTTTACCCGCACTGTTGCATGACCCAGGCTTGGTGGATAAACACCCAAGCACAGACATGGGAGGGAAGGTTTTTCCAATACATTCAGCACACCCGTGGGTTAACAGTCACCTGACACACACTGGGACATGATTTTTTCCCATTCCCAGCACCGCAAGGAAACTGCAAACATAACCTCTGTACAGAGGTTATTTTGGCTGTCACACTTATGTTGCTCTTTGCTGGTACGAAAGAAAGGAGGCCACCAGCCTCTTGGTCTAATGATTTTAAGAGCTATTCCCTACCTATTTGTCAAGGCATGTACTTCAGAAAACTGGGACCAAGCCACCTAAAACACTTGAGAGCTTCTTTTAGGGACAGTTATGACTGTTTCAGGATTATCCAAGTGATGAAGTTTAAAAAAAAAAACAAACTTGCTTTTGAGATAGGTATCTTTGTTTTTTAAAGGTTTGTACAGCACATAAGGGGACTGAGGCAGTCCCCAGCCATGTCTTTCTATGCCTTACATCAAGTGACTTTGGCTTTGTGCATCTGAATGACTGCACTTCATTTCACAGGCAAAAAGCAGCAAAATTTGGGCCTGTGCGCCACGACATTCACAACTATTTTCAATCACAGCCATTTCAGTTCTGAAATAATGAAAATCAGACAAATATTTAGGTGTGTCATGTTATACAGCACCGAGGCACTGCTGCCCATGCAGACCTCCCAAGCGGATCCTCATCGCTGCATTCCCCAAATAAAAGCAAGGCAAGGTTGGGAAACTGGATGTAATCTGCAGCAGGGGGGCAGTAGCAATAAGTGGCACAAGCCACAAATCAGTTAAATTGTGAGGGAGGGCAGGGCCTCCTCCACACACACACACACAAGAACAGGAGCTCTGCAAACATTCATTAAAGCTGCTTCCTCCAAGCTGGGACAATTACAGCTTTTAGAGTTAAATTAGCAACCGTGCTCTGCCTGGAAGTTTTTCTGTTGTTCTCTAGGCTTTGGTATTTGCTTTTCTTCAGATAACCAGAAGACAGTTCAGCAAGAGAACAAGCAGGACTTCCACACGGCTCAAGTGAAAATTAATAGTCCCTAGCCCGTCATTCCGGACTGGGGCCAAGCTCAAGGTGTTCCTCACCCCTTCCTTCCCACTACACACAGAGACAAGGGAGCGGATGGGGCCAGGGCAGGGGGATGCAGGCAGGGGGGTCCTTACGGCACGGGAGCTGGGGGCGCTGCAGCGGCGGCTCCCGCCCCACGCGCTCTCCTCCTGCACCGGCACCTACGATGGAGAGGCAGGAGCAGCATCAGGGCAGGCCTGGCCGAGGGGCCGGAGGCACGGGGTGGGGGACACATGGGAGCGAGGACCATGGATGTGCATGGGGATGTGGCCTGGGTGAGCCCCCCACACGCGCCACGTTCCCCGAGTTGGGCCGCCCCGTGCAGCTCATGCAAAGCCCAGGTTAATCCCCTGCCCCTGCTCTGCTGCTCTTGTACCCATCCCCAGGCCACAGCAGCATCGCAGCCTTGCAGGGATAGAAAGGAAGATCCAGCAAAACGTGAGCATCACACAGGCATCGAGACAGGTGGAGATGGTGGAGACATGAGCAAGGCACAGGAACCAAGCGTGAGACACAGGGGCCAAAAGCAGCGTCCGTGCTGGTGGTTAGGGCATTAGGAGGACCAACCCGGGAGCTCCTGGTGGGCTGAGCATCGCTGTACAGCAAGGAGGGCTGAGGAAGGCAAGCACAAAAACCTTTCTGTTTGGAGGAAAAAAGTAAGGAAACACAACAAAAGGTGCCTAAGGCAGAGTTAATCTCGGTCAGGACTCACAGGGATAGGAAAGCTAGAAGAGGAAGAAATGCAGTACAGATAATAGTAGTCATCTGTGCCCTAAAAGCAACAGGTCTCAGCTGGCCAGACTGCGAGTAGAAAGCAGACACATGCGTGTTTCCTACAGGAAGGGAGGACCCTGCAGTACCCAGAAGCAAAACACCACAATTTAATTTTAGGTTGTTAATGTGTTATTGTGTCGAGTCCATTGGTGCCTAGCAGGCCGCCAGGAGGGCTGCTCCTCCTCACTGCAACCACTGCCTGAAAACCGCTATGGGGCTTTGCAAGCCAGAGACACCGAGGTCTGAGGGTGCTCCGAGTGCTCCACACAGCTGTAGGGGTGCGTTTAGTAGGAGGTAAACACGCAAACACCAAATCACTCAGGACGGAGTTAGGACGAGCAAGGCAGAGCGCCCGCAGGCAGCCCCGCTGCCGCAGCGACGCCGCGAGCAGGCCGTCTCGAGGAGCACCGAGAGCTTCAGTTAATCAACGTTTTGCACGTTTTCCCACAGCGACTTGGTCAACAGCAAATAAAGTAGCTGTGGGAAAGGGAGGAGCAGCAAAGGAAAACGACTTGTGGCCTTTTTAAAGCAGTTTTCCATGGCTCGCTCCAACCATTATCAACAAGGTGGGACTTTTTTTTTTTTTTTTAAACCTCTCCAGTTCAGCTAGACTCTCAACAACTGGTCTGAATTATTTGTTCCTAAAACATAGCAGGCTGATTAATCCAAACAGACAAAGCAAGCAGTCCAGGCCAGGTAAAACCAGGGGGCAACAGACCCAGTTTCCATTGTAGGAAGAAGGCTGGGACATGGAAGCATAGCCACTGTTGTGAGGGCCCAGATCGGAGTAGTACGAAGCCTAGGAAGAAAAGAAAACCTTGAGAACTCGGCTCTATAACATGAAGTTTAATTCATATAAATGGAAAGCAAAACATTAGGTAGGTGCTTACGAACAGTGAGATCCAAAAGACATAATGCAACTGCAGCAGGGAAACTAGCTTAAGTGTGTGAAAACCACATGATGTTTCCATTTGTAAAGCTGAAACTTTTGAAACAAGGGAAAGGACTGTCCTTTGTACGTACAGCATCCTACGCCTTTGATTCCTTTTCCTATGAAAAGGGCTCCAGCCCCCAAGGGCTCTTCTCCCTCTCTCCATTACGACCCATGAGAAGATAATCTATGATGACACTTCTTGTACAGGACTTAGAAGATGACAGACCACGTTTGAAAGGTGCCTATTTGTTTTGTGCACCTACGTTTCACCATGACTCTAGTTAGGTGAAGCCATTTAAGCCTCCTCGTTGAGCCAGGCTCACATGACAAGGTTTCCCACTGCAGCTTGTGACCCAACTCTCCATTCTTACCTGGCTCCATAGAGTGGTTTTACATCTGCACTGTCCCTTCAACACCTCATGTTTAGCCAACACTTACCAATGCCTAGCAGAAACCGGACCCAGATCCATTAATAAAATAATAAAACCCATAAAAGTCAGGCCCTGTTTCTGCAGGGGCCCATTCAGCTACTCGCTTACGAAGGAAGCCCACTGAAGCCCATCGTATGCTCAACATGCAATGCTCAAACACTTACCCAAACGCAGCCCTAAAATAGCTTATTTTTCCTCTTAAACTGAGAGCTTTAGTCTGCACATTATTAAATTTCTTTAGGTGTCCTGGTAGCATAAGGATCAACAAGCTCCAAGCTTTTTGTCTGCCTTTGGGAAGGTAAAGGCAGGAGGGGGGAAAAGGAAAACACTTTTCCTGAAAGGAAATGCATTTAAACAAACTGCACAGAACTGCAGCGTTTGAGGGAGGGAGGCAGCTCCTGCAGATGCTGAAGATCCGTGTGCGGGAAGGGAAGGGCTCATGGTGACCCACACACGCTGCACTCAGTAATGAAGCTCTTTGGAGAAATATTTCTAGAAATCAAGTAAATCAATGATAATAAAGCCCAGTTTGATGGTAGCGCTTTCACAGGCGGTTCAGCTCTGTGGGAATTACCAGCAGCTCTAGGATATGGCTTATAAAGGAAAATACATGTAATTAGGCAAACTTAAAATATATACAATTATAGAATTTTAAAATATGCAAAGGGGAAAATCCAAGCACCAAATTGCCCTCCACACGTGCAGATCTGAAGACACAGACACTAATTACACGCGAGGACTGGGAGTTTCAGCACTGGGCTACTGGAATAAAGGGTGCACAGCCCAGCAAGCCAGTGTCACATTGCCGGGAACACATGGAAATCCCCACACTGGCTTCCAGCCAGGGATCTCTCGCCACAATTTAACTTTCACCCAATTCTGACAGCAAGGTTAAGGGATTCTGCCCTGCGAGTTTCACTTGTGTCAAATTCACAGGCTCCTTTTCCCACTCTGGGCCTTTTTCTTTTAAACAGATTATTGCCGTATACAACAAGCTGCAAAGCCTGGGATGTGCAGGACAGGAAAAACCTGCTTTACCACAGAAAAGAATTTGCTAATTAGCTTTAAAGGCATTAGAGAGCAATAATTCTTATAGGAATATAAACCATCTACTAACCCTGCTAGATTTTCTACTCTGGGATGATCCATACACATCTTCCTCATAACCATTGGTCTGTTGGGGAAGAAAAGGAGAAAGAAAAAAAAGGAGAGAAAAAAAACTGAAACAAACTCGAAGAGAGCATTGTAATAAGTGTCATCCCATATGAAGAGCAAGGGCAGAGGTGGCACTTTGAGACGCCCAGCAACAGAGGTGCAGAATTAGAGCTTACTTTCAAACAGACCCCAGGAAAACCTCAATATGATGAATATTCTGGGGTCTGTCTCTACCCATAAGCCAGCCAAAAATGTCAAGGATATGCTTGCTTGCAAAGAGTTCAATTCATTTCTGTATTTCACTTTTTTCCCCCTCCTTAAAAAATTCAGTTTAGTACACATGTAATACTGTATGAAACCTCTTCTATTTAGCTTTCTGCAACTAATTCTAACCAGGACCATCTGCCACATCCAAGTGTTTTGTGTTGCAATCCAAAGATGAATAAAAGGTTTTTAAGCTGCTGAGCTGTCTCCTATCATATTCAATAACGATACAAATAGGTGTTCTCTGGAAGAGCAAAGAGGACAGAGTCCACAATTCTTAAGTAGGGGAGGCCCCAGGGGAGCAGAGTCTGAGATAAAACAAAAAAATCACTACCATGTAGCCTGCCGTTAGTCTGGAAAGAAAACATGTGAAGATGAGATGACAGGTGCCAAAATCACCTATCCTGACAGCAACAGAAGCTCAGATTTCCCCCATCAGTTCACTGTATTAGCATTGCTACGTGATGAGGCTTGCTCTAATGTAAAGAACAAGGAAGACCTCCCATGATTTTGGCAGTGGAAATTTAATAATAAATTTAAAATTAAAATCTAGATGTTAATGTATTCCTGAAGTGAACGCAGCAGCTCCCTGTAAGCCAATTTACCCCTTTTCAGCACCACTGCATATCTAAGTGCAACCTCGAGCCTTTTTCTAAACTATTCCTATGCAAAAGTCTTGATTTTTGAGGCAGCCTATTTAATTATTCCCCTCTCCACACACTAGTCCTCATTAGTTCTCACTGTTACTCAGTTTTGGCAAACCACCTCCTATCACCATCCGTGTTTTCTCGCTAGCCTTGCGTGAAACGTCCCCTCTCCACACAGTCAGACAGAGCAACAGAGCGCCCTGCAGAACCAGTTTCTCCTCTCCAAGCAGGTGAAGCTGTTTTAGGTGCGAAGACACCAGAGGAGAGTCACTGCAGCTGTATCTTATTCTAATAGAGTGGTTTTTTTGGCTAATTGTGCATCAGTATACAAAGGCCTGACCTTGGCCAAGGCTTCAGGTGTCTTCTGGAAACACACCAAAGGACTTGTACTCACATTAAGAGTCACATCTCATGCTTTTCTTTCATGCAGTTAAAGAATTACCTTGCTTAGCTAGGGCTACTAAACAGAACTTTCCACAAATGCAGATTAACTGTTTCTCCCACATCTGCGAGGCACTTCTGAACACCACGATTTATTTCACCCCAGCACCCTGTGGACTTCAGGCTGCCCAGTCCAGAGGCTCTGCAGTCCAGCCCACTCCTCTCGAGGCCGTCACCACCCCTGGGAGCTGCCCGGCTCACACTCACCACGGCAAACGCTCCTCACGTGGCCTTTCCCACAGCTCCAGGTTCTGCAGGGTGCATTTTACCTCGCTGACCTTTGTCCCGTGCTACATTAATGTTACTCAGCTGATGACAATCTTCATGAAAACAGCAGCAAACAAGTCTGTATACTGCAGAGGCCGAAATATTCAGATTTTACTTGTTGTCCCTTCATAGTGTTATAACTGACCCTATTCTTCTCTGCTTTCCTCTCTAACTTTCATTCAGGTTCAGCTTTCCCATGTGTTAAGTGCTCTATTTATTTATACAGGCACTAGCACTCATTATCCACAACTACTTGTAGACCTCGTGATCAACACTGATGTGCTCCATTGCCACAAGCGCCTTTGGAGATGCAGCTAATCTTTAGCATTTCATCATCCCAACATAACACAGCTCCTCCACAGATGAAAACTCTGAAACTCTGCCATTTGCAGCACGCCACACATTGCTCTGGACAGCTAATTCCACACCCCAACCTGAAAGTGAATCCAAGCTCCCATTTCCCCACAGGATGCTACTTCATCTCATGACATTGAGATGAAGAAGCATTTAACTAAAACCCTTGATTTTTTTCCCCCCTATTTAAAGCTTCAGCACCCTTTGGTAGAAGTAACATCTTTAAAAAAAATATTACTACTATATATTACTTGCCCTCCTGAAGCACTGCTAAATTAATCAGCTACTCAAATGCTGCTATAAATTAATGCTTGCCCATTACCTTGATATATGTAAAACAGTACTGCTCCCTACATGAAAAGATGCAGCTTTTACTACACAAATCCCATTATTTATTTATCTCTGTATCATGTCAAAACTCAAGTTAGGATCCGAGTTCAAGATGATCTTTAAATACAACATTGGAATTTGTGAGTGCTTGGATTATACTACGTTTTGCCAATCAAGGGATACTCAAGGGATACTCAGGATATTTTTACACACCCAACAAGTGCAGAGAGCTGCACTGTATCCTTGACATCAGGCTGGCTGGCTCCTAGAGCCCAAACACTTGCAAATATTCTCCGGGTCCCTCACAGCAGTTTTGCTTGCGCAAGAAAACGCCTCTGTAGTGCAGACAGTCAAGATACATACTGCTTTGGAGTAGCTCCTCCTTTTGGTCCTCTCATTCTCTACTCCAGCCTGCAGTGAGATTAAGAATGCAGGATGAAAAAAGATCAACCAGTTTACGTGGCCCCAGATTTAGGCAAGCATGCAGATCACCATGCAAAAATCAGTCCTGTATTTCTGCAGTTCTGCAGGAGATGGTTCAGTAAACACGCGTGAAAACGAAAAATCAAATCACATCAAACTCAAGTGATCAGTTAAAGAATATTTCTGAAAGTGATGATAGGACTGTTAAATTTAGTAGCCGCAGTTACCATTATTCATGCTCGCTGGGTTAAGTCAATCAATAGAGCTACCAGCTGTCTATCCTCAGCACATCAATACAGCCATGCAAAATCCAAACGCATGTGAACTATTCCCATATATAGGTCACCCACAAATAGATTCATTGCATCTCAAATTTGACATAGAGCAGGGAATGAAGAGGGTGAGAAAACTAATCAGCTGCAAAACTGCTCTCCACAGCCTGCTTTTCAGCACGCTGAGAAGGACACAAAAGCCGTTTCACTGCAGTAAAACCAACAGTCTGTCAGTAGCTTCATAAAAGCACCACAACCACATTCGCTTCTGGGGGGAACAAGACCCCAGTCTCCACGCGGGGCTGTCACAGGGGAGCTCTGCTCACACCATGAGGAAACTTAAAACTGAGTGTTAAGTCATTAAGTCTCCATTCCCTCTCCGTGTCCTCCTGTTCTTCCAAGGAGCCACCCTTTATATATTCCGATATATGCAGTGAACACACTGTGTGGTCTTATTGTCAGCCACACAGTTTGGTTTTATCCATCAAGGCAAAGATGGAAAGCTGGAGACACAAGGCACATCTTTTTAGGCAGCAGATTTGTCCTGTTCCCTTGGCTACATCTGTTCAAAGTGAGTTTGGGAAGGGTTGATACCTTTTTTTTTTCATGCTGAAATACAGACCAGGTAGACATACCTGGTCAATGGATGGGCAGACTGATAGAGACAGAAAACACAAGCTGCTCTACCCTGTGCTGTGGTAATTACAGAATTGGATCTAGCTTAGGTCTCCCGCATCATTCGCTGCTTCTCGTATGATGCCCGTGTCAGGGCAGCACATGAGAAGCAGGGTCTTGACATCAGAGACCACTAAATACCACCTGCTGCCTTTGGGACCATCCTTATCTCAGGCCAGTTAGCACAAGTGTTAGTTTCTGCTTCACAGTTAGTTTTTTTAAAACATCCACTGCAACTTCCAGACTATTCTCACCACGGGGTAGGCACTGGCATATTCCAGGTGAGACTGACCAGGTACAAGAAGAAAAAAATCAGAATATAAAGGAAAACAAAAAGAAATGACAGGAAGCAGAGGGGGAAAAGCACAGAAAAATAAATCCTGTTTAAATAATGTGGATAATGCTGGATATGTTACACAAAACCAGAAACTTCAGCTAGCAGAAAGACCAAGGAAATGGGCACAAACTACCAGCAGTGAGTAGAAATCCAACAGTATTTCCTAGGAGATGGCCTCAGATTAGACAGCAGCCCACTCATGTAGGACAGCACAGGGGCTTGCAGTAAAACGAGACTGAAGAGCTGGTTGTCTCATGCTCAGGATGCGGTTTTGGAGTTTCCCTTCTCATGCTCAAGAATCAAACAAGGGGAATTTCCAAAATACGAGAGGCAGGATGGGTTTGCTAGCTTCTGAACGAGCCACAGCCAAGCTAGCAAGGACTCTTGCTCTGTAAAGGCTCAGGGCAGCCAAAGGCAGCTCTGCAGGAGGCACAAACACCTTCACATCAGCATCCCCCAGCTCAAAAGGCTGCTGCTTATTGTTGGGTGGCTTGAACCAAGCAGCCAGCATGGCCTAACTCAGGTGGCTTTCTAGCCATCTCAGGTGGCTTTCCAGTCCACGTTGATGTTTGCAGTGCCACAACTGCTCACAGACATCTTTCCCTCCAAAATACTTGCACAGAATCTCCATAGGAGAAAGAAATCAAAAAGAAAGATGGCACTACGGCACTATGAATAATACAGGCCTTGTTTGCTTTAGAGAAACATGACTGATGATCCAGATTTATCTTTCCCTTCAAAAGGGAAGGCGGGAATGTGGAGGGAAGAAGCTGTCAGAGCACTAAAGCTGCTGGCTACCCAGCCTGGTGGGACAGGAGGACAGTGACTTCGCTGCACACCCATGCACTGCACGATGTACCAACCCGGAGGCTTCCACGGCTCCCCACGGACATGCGCTCATCTTCATCCGAAGCCTAGCGGGAGGAAGCGCAAAGACAAGAAAACAATGAAAAGAACAAAAATTACAGGGGGTGAAGTAAACGTAGGTGATTCTGGTGAGACAGAAAAAAAAACATAGGGAAAACGCTGTAAAAAATGCATTAAGTTATAAATAGAAAGTAAAAGAAATCATACAGTGCCCAAGAACCGCTGTCAAGCACTTTTCTACAGGATGAATTACGAGCTTGCTCAGGTCCTCCCTGTTCCAGGCGTTTGGCTCACAGTCTGAACAAGTGAACTTTCAAAGCTCCCAGCAGGTCATTTCCCACCTCCCACCTCTTTAATCCCAGGCATTTGCAGAAGTTCCCCAGCCCATTTCATCTGGCTGGGGAGAGTGCCACAAAAGCACTAAATGGGGTTTTTCTTTTCACATCATTAGTCTTTGGGGGCTGCTTTTTCTTGCAAAAAGAGAGTGTCTTTATGCACTTTCGCGCTTTCTTAACATGAAATTGAGCTCTAAGGAACAAGGAAAAGCAAATACTGACCGAGGCATTTCTCCGGGCTCTACGGGAATAACGCTCACTGTCTTCCTACCAAGGTAGCAGAGAAAAACAAAGAATGAGGCGTTGAAAGGAGAGATGCAGCAGCACAGCACTGAGACACACAGGGAAGCCTCACACATGCCCAAGAGACAGCTTTCAACCACATAGCAGAAAGTAGCACTAAGCCAAATTAGGAAATAAATATTTCCTTCACTTGTGACCCCAACTTTGCCCCCCTCCCTTCCACACACTTTTGTTAAATTGGCAGAAAACTGGACGCAGCAACTTCATCTATATCTCCAAAAATGACTGCACACTCTAGTGCCTCTGCCTCTGGGACTCAGCACAGCTACAGTGCATTTGCAATCAACCTTTCCAGTCTACAGTCCTTCCAAACATGTCTGGAAAAAAACTATTTTATTTGAAATAATTCAGCAGGGCAACTGCCACTGCAGGGCGCGATCCAGAGAGGGGCACTCGGGCCACCTCGTCCAGGCCAGAGGCACCTGAGCTCAGCTTAGAGCCTCTGCAACGTGTCGCGCCGACACTCATTAATGCTCTAAACCGACCAAGAAGTTCACCAGGCCAAAGCTGCGTAGCTACGTTGACCAAGGCCTACCATCCATTGCTCGATGTCGCCCCACTTAGTATCCAGACCATAGTATTTCTACAGACAGAGAAGGGAAAAAAAGAAAACAGTTTAGCTGAGAAAGGCGGCCAGCACGCCGAGACATGCAGTGCGGGTTAGTGCCGAGACGCAGCATCGCGTCCCTGACACGGGTTAGGCAACACAGCAAGGAAGGGCCACGGGACACGGCCCAAAACCCCTCTGCCCGGGCAAGGAACAGCTGCCCGCGAGCAGGCCGGGCTTCCCAAGAGCTGCTTGCTTCCCAGCACTGCCAAAACCAGCAGCAAACCCCTAGCGCGCTGGGGCAAGGAGCCAAGAGCGTAACGAGCCTCGGATTCCTGACCCATTTCAGTCAAGATGCATTATAATGGATCCGAACGCACGTTTGCGGGATGAGAAACGCTGTCAAACCACGTTTAGCATACAGATTTACCATGCTGGGAAAGCAAGTTGAATAAAATACAACTAATCTGTGTGTATTCTTATTCAGCATTTTTGTAGTTCTTCAAAGCTCCTTCTCACAGCACAAGATTTTATTTTTTGCTTAGACTTCCATCATCTTGACAGCGGTTCAGTGTCACCCATGGGGAGGGCACAGGAACCTCAAGGATGTGCTCCCCATAACAGGCTACACTGGAAAACTCCCCATATTTTGGTACCCAGTGTGCCACGGTTTCCTGGAAGAGAGTTTCTCCCAATTTGTTTCTCCGATCCTGTTTTCTGTGCCTAAGATTTGAGGCTTCCCACTGAACCTGCGTCTCCACCAGACAGCAAACTGCAGAGATTGGCGAATTTTGTGGGATTTTTCTTCCTCCCCAAACACACATCACGAAACTTGTCTCAAAGAATTTGCATTTATAACTGTAACATGCTTGTGTGAGGGGAAAAAAGTAACTGGACTAAAAGATAGTAATCAGCAAAAGGAAATCTGGCTGAAGGAAAGAGAATATGTATTTTAGAACTATTTTGAGGTTTATACTTTGGAGTTCATGTCATTGCAGAAAACGTAAGTCTATACTTGCCTGTTTTCTCCAAAGCAGGAAGAGGGAGGAATATCAGCAGTCACAACGTGAGATAGTGATCAAATTTGGAAACTTGTTCTGAATTACATTCTAAATTCAGCACTCGCTCAATGGTATTAACAGAATCTGTCTGTCTTTGGCCTTTAAAAGCTCCACTTACTAATTATTAAACTCAAAGAAACATCTAAGCAATTTGTTTGATCTTGTACCAGGTTATTCCCACTTTAGGCTTTTTCTTCATTAAACAACAAGATGATTTGCATCTTAAGATCATTTTTCTCCTAACAGCTCTGAAGGGAGGAAGGCCCACGACAAAGCCAAGCACACACAGTTGTGCATGCAGGACAGCAAGGACAGACCAGGCTGCACAAGCTCCTTGAGGTGCTGTCAGCTTCAAGGAGACTTTAGGAAAGGGAGCACAAAACAGCCCAGCTCAGTAGGAAAGACACTGGAAACAAGGGTTTTAGCCTAAAGCAGGAATAAAATTCCATGTGCTCACTTCGCTAGAAGCAGCAAGAGACAACAGCCCAGCAAGGTAATTAACCACATCCCTGTCTGAGGATGGAAGCACTCCCTTCTCCTCCCCACAAAGCATTTATGTACAGGCTCCAATACATCTAGCACCCCACAGGGTGCTCAGCCAAATGCACTTGGGTGCATTTTTCCCCTCCAGCTTGAAGCAACAACTGTTACTTGGCCAACATTTTCTTGAAAGCACCCAGAGGAGTTACCTCCTGGCCAATGGGTGCTACACACCAGCACCCTGCAGACCATGAAACCGCCTGTTACTGGGTACAGCACGTCCTGGCAATGGCCCTGCATCCTTGTTTGGGGCTCAAACACCTCAAACATGTTCCCAAAGGTCACCTTCTCACTTCACCTTCCTCACAAAGTTCAGCTCCACTTCCAGGCTTTTCCTCCATCATTTAACACTAGATAGCTCCAAGCTTGTTATTCCCAACTACTTATATTTCTTCTCATAAACAACTACCCTCTCTTCTTCCCTAAGAGGCCTTCTATGAATGATGGCACAGGTTAAAGGAAGAAGTTACACTTATCCATTCCTTTGGTTGTTATTTCAGATTTCTTTGCTCGCCTTAAGCTCTCTTCCACCCTGAGAAGTGATATTAAAATTTAATCATGACATTAATACCATTGAGCGAGCACTCTGGATCCGATCCGCTTGCCAAGGGCCAGCAATGCTTCTATACTTGCAAAAATCGCTGCAGGATGCTGTGGGGTTAACCCGTGTCTTACCCACGCCAGCACCCTAGGAGCCAACCACCACATTGCCTCCCACAGGGCTGCACATGTGCCAGAAGATTCAATTAAATCAGTTCCCATCAAGGAGATCGATAACAAGCCTGTTGATCCGTGGGAAGACGTTAATTTGATTCACTCAGTTCACAGGCCACCAAGTTAATGATGTTGGGATTGAATACCACAGCAGATGATTTCAGCAGATGAGTGTGCTTCTCCATGGGGCTCAGAGCATTGCCAAGCAGCAGGCAGGCAGCGCTAGGGCAAGCTGGTGACACATGCGGTTACTGCTAACTCGAGCGCCAGGATAAAACAGGCAGGCTTGGGGTTTAGGGCACGTGTATCATTCAACAAGCAGCAAAACCTTCAATGAAAAAGACCATTCTGTGAGGGGGAAAAGAGCAGACTTAAAGAAATAAATGCTTCTTCCTTCCCTGCAAAAAAAATCTATTCTCCTCTGGAGGTGCTGCAGGTTCACATGCTGGAAGGACAGAAGAGCTAAACATCAAGAACCCTTGTCAGCCGTCACGCAGCAAGGGACCCCAGTTACAGCTTGAACAGCATCTTTGTTAGCATCGAGAACCAGGAGACTGCTGTGCATCTTCCCTTCTTAAGAGGTTTTTCCAAAGTGCTGTCAGGCCTGGCAAGGTGAGGAGATAAAACCACATGCAAACAAGCAAGCGAGACCGAGCCCTACCTTCTGGACTTGATAGATCTATGGAAGAAAAAGGGAGAGGAAAGAAACAAGGAAACAAGAGCGAGCATGAACAAATACACAGCAAGGCAGCATTATACAAGCTAGTACAAAGGAAAAGTCATTTATGCACAATGTACAGCGACACAGGAATGCAAGGAAAAAAGAAGTTACATCCAAATTCTCAAAAGTCAGGTAAAATAAAAGCAGCGTTTACATTCCAGGCCTCTGTGGTTACCTAAAAAGCAGTTTTTCTGTTCAGGTACTTGATGTCGAGCTCCAAGCAGCCTTCACTTGACACCAGGCAGGAGAAAACCCTGCTGCGAGCTGGGAGCTCCTGCCTTCCCCCCAGCATCTCCTTAAAAACACTACACGCTCCAGGGTTCACCTGGGAAGAGCATTAACCACAGCTCACTTTTGCTGAAGGGGAGAACTGCCTTTGACTGTTCAGCTTTGTAAAAGCCACCCGCAAATAGAAAACCTGTTTTCCAAGCTGCTGTCTCCTTGTGCCTCTCCTAGCGTTTCTAAGGCAAGAGACCCTCCCGGTTTAAGAGCACCTGGGGAGTCTGATTCAGAAGGGAAGTCACAGCTTCATCCATCAGCTTTGCTGCCAAATACCTACCTTTCCATCGGGGGGGGGGGGGAAGAGAGAGAAACAAAAAAACCCAAACCAAATAACAAGGAAAAAAATCAGGAAAAGAGAGAACACTGCTCTCAACCCCTTCCCATCTCCCAGAGAAGCCCTGAGGATGGGTAAATACCAACCCCAATCCTGGGAAAGGGCAGGTCGCTCCAGCTGCAACCTGGGCTGGTCAGAGGTGGCCAGGCCCTGGGTTTGGGGACACTGGGACCTACTGCTTTCCCCTGCTCTTCTGGGACCTGCCAGGTCCATTCCAGGAAACAAGGAGGCTCCTTTTGACCGCTGCCTCTAAAACCTGCTCAGGTCGCCCTAATTGTGAGGGGCAACTGCAGGGTGCAACCTGCTGTCTTGGCCGCTAGACTCATCACCTCGCTTACCTTGTGCTAAGCGACAAGCTAAGCAGTTAGGTAGTAACAAAAGGCAGAAATTCAAGGTGTGCTGAACACAGCCATGCCTTCAACACTGCCCTGCTCCTAACTCTGTGCGTCTTCACACCAGGCACGTATGAAAGACCCAGGTGAGGCTTCCCACACTCCCAGATTCCTTCCCTGTCTGTGCCTCCACCTACTAGCCTAGGAGGCCCTGCCCTCCCTTCCTGCTCTCCCCTGGGGCTGCCAACCTTGAAGAACAACCTGGAGAAAACCCACCTCAGAGAACACCAGTAACATGTTTTACTCCAAATACAACCCCCAAAACAAGGGGGAAAAGCCTTGCCTCTGGAGGTACAGGCTCATCTGCCAGGTGACCTGGCATGCAGAGTCTGGTCTGCAGGTTAAAGAGCGGGAGGAGGAGATTATTCTCTTTCCCTCTTCAGGCTTAATATCAGTTTAACCAGTGGTCTCCAAGTGAGCATCCTCGAGGAGACATTTAAACCCCTCGCCACCAGATTTCTTAGATAATCTCACATTTCAAAGCTAGGATGCAAGTACTAAATATCCCCCAAAAAGCAGGCCGCTATCATCAACAGTCAGGGTGCCTGCCATGAGCTCCAACTGCACATCCCTTTTGAAAGGGAAGAAGGTGCATAATAATTTGGCCAAAAATTAATTTAATTTGAAAACAGTCACAGGAGAGAGTACTAAAAACCTCTCAGCTACCCTGTGTTTTGTTACTGGAATGTCTTTTGTAGTGCCAAATGAAATTTCAGTCAGGTCACACATGTAAATTCAAGATGCAGAATTTACCCAATTATTCTGTGATGACAAAAATGAAGCCCAGATTGAGTTCTGCAGCACTAGATGGTGGACAGGAGAGGAGCCAATTTCCAGTCACCAAATCCACATCACTAAACCACACCTCTCTGCTGCCAGCAAGAGCTCTACTGCCCTGTCTATAGCTCCTAATGGCAACATCTGGAAGCTTTTAGCCCAGATCAACAGTATATATTCTCCAGCACGAGCAGCCTGTCAGAGCA